GTCTTGAATATCTAATAAAAATCTCATATGTGGATGACACTGGAGTTTTTAAGGTATAATTAATTATGATGTGCTCTCTAGGACCCACCCGAAGGCCCTATTTGGCTCTTTCTCTCTCTCTTCCCATTTGAATAATGAAGTGATAATTTGACTTGGAATTGGTTGTTTGTTCGAGCAGGTTTGCTTGGAATATTAGAATTCCTTGGTTTTGGAACTGTTTGAGTTGCATCATAATTTGGATAATCCTGCAGCAGCTGCAAATATGATGGGGCTGCAGGTAATTTAGATACTTTTATCTTTGAAATTTTTGTTGGTTTGAGTTTTCTGTTTTCTACTTTGTATGAATGCATCCTCTAGTTTTACTTGAATCCCCCTGTTTTTCTTTAGTCTATATTGACCGTAGCTTATCTTTTAATCTCTTTGTAGTTGAATAAAGATGTATGGTTTGAAATTGGTAGTAGATAGGTAAGTCTTTTCTAGGTTTCCATCAACGAGAAGGTTTTGTCTAGGAAAAGACCAATTTATCATCTCAGAACTTGCAAACCTTCCATATTGAAAGAGACTCAACAAGTCTGAATTAGGTAGGTGTCTTTATTTTAATATTTTTTGAAATTTTGGGGATATTTTTAGTAACCATTGGAACCTTTACGATTTTCCTATCAATAACATTCAAATCTTTTCCCAACAAATTTTGAGACAGTAGGTTTCTAAGCATTGTGTCCATGTCACATGAATTAGGTAGGTGTCTTAAATTTTTTTTGAAATTTTAGGGAGATTTTCAGTAACCATTGGAACCTTTACCATTTTCCTATCAATAACATTCAAATCTTTTCCCAACAAATTTTGAGACAGTAGGTTTCTAAGCATTGTGTCCATATCACTCTTGCTCATTCATGTGGACAATCACATTAGCCATGTAATGCTTCTTTAGTTTTGTTTAAAAAAGTGGATTTTCTGTGTATGAGGTTAGATATGGTATTGGGCAACTTTCTTGTTAGAAATTAAGTTCAGAAGACTTTTGAAAATACTATCTACAGAAGCTTTTTAAATTTATTTTAATCTTACTGGAAACTCACTTTCTATGATATGCTTCTTTCTTAATAGTAGAAAACGTATTGGATTATTTGTTATTTTCTTTCTTGAATGTTTTCATACTTATTTTTTGTTATTGGTGTCATTTTGATCTTGTAGATCATGAGGGAGACAATATTTGTCACACCTTGAGCATTGGAACAACTTAAACACCTTATGCTGGGCAATAGGGTCCATATCTGGTTCCATGATGGAAGAACAAGTATTGTTTGCTCTTTGTTCATCAGTTTATTTTTATGCTTAACTGAAGTCTTAATTATCTTTGATTTGATGTACAGCTCTGATTTAAGTTTTGAGTTTCATGAAATTTTCAATTATTGAACAATTCTTTAATCAAAATTTCATTTGCTCTGCATCTGCACATGGGTGGTTTCAGTCATTATTTCTATATCAGTTTGTGTTTCATGAATATAATTAACGATTGTATATAAAAAAAAATTCTTTATTTTTTATTTTCTTATGAAAGAATCAGTATTAACTGATCATTCTATTAGCTGATCCTATATTTGTTCTCTTGATGGTATGCAGGTCCTATATTTTCGTTTTCACCATTGGCCATCCATACAGGGAATCTGTTAGCTGATCCAAGATGCACACTTGTAGTGCAGGTTAGTGATTTGATATGCATGTTTAGCTAAAATATGTGTATGGTAGACAGTAGAGAAGAGTTTAGTGTAAATATTATTGTAAATAATTATTCTTTGTTTGGTGCAGGTCTGATGGATAAGTTTCTTCTAGTATATCAGCATGGTTGAAGTTTCCAGGTATTTTCTTATTCTTCTATTTTTTTTCTTGACTTTATCTTCAATATTAACTTTCAGCTGTTCTATCTCTCTCTCTGTCCCACCGTGAATTTTTCTTTTTGTTTAATGGTCCTCTCTTTCTATTTGTTAAGATGATGATCCTCTCTTTTTATTTGTTAAGATGATGATCCATTATTATTAGTTTGTCTTTCACTTTGCTGTTTTGTTTTTTCCTTTATTTTTTTGTTTTCTTTGTTGATAGTCTAAAAATCTTGTTTTTCATTTGAAATTATCTTTTTGTAAATAATTATTGTTTGTTTGATGCAGGTCTGATGGATAAATTTCTAGTATATCAGAGGACAAAGGACAGAAGACAATCTACTAGTGATGAATCTTATGTTCTTTGTTTTTGGGAATCAATTGACATTTAGGTTGAACTTAAATATCTAGCATTTTGTTTTTGAGACATCTTGTGAATTTGTTGGAAGAATGTTAGATATATGGATTGCTTTCGAATACAATGAATTATGTGATGCTATAAACTTTTCGAATACAATGAATTATGTGATGCTATAAACTTTATCTACAGCGCTATCTACAAGAAATTAATTGTGATTTCATATTGAATACAATAAATAAAGAACATGGAGAGGTAAACCTGGTTAGTTACCAATTTTTTGAAATATATGTATTAGTGACCAAGCAAGTAGGTCACTAATGTGGGCACGTGACCTAGTTTCAGTGACCAAAATGCATGTTTTGGTGACCAAATTGTAAGCCCTTTAGTGACCAAAGTTGTGGTCCCTAATAACGTTTTTACTAGTGACCAGACAAGGATAGCCACTAATTCTAACATGGGTTTTGAATTTTTTGAAGATATTAAATACTTCTGATCTTTCTCGCAGAAAATAAACCCACGTCATTCTAGTATAGTCATCTATGAACAGGATAAAGTACCTGTTATTATCAAGAGATGGAGTCCTCATGGGTCCACAAACGTCTGTGTGAATAAGCTCCAACAAGGCCTTAGCTCTCCAAGCCTTTCCAGATGGAAATGCTTGTCGATGTTGTTTGCCAAGTTGGCAACTTTCACAGACATCATGGATCTCTTTTATGTTTGGAAAATCTCTCATCATATTCTTTTGATAAAGAGTTTTTAGTGCATAAAAATTAAAGTGGCCAAATCTTTTATGCCATAACCATGAATCTTCTACTTGTGCTTTCATGGCTGTGGTTTTTACAAATTGCCATTGGATAGGAAAATTTCTATTTTCCATCCTTACTTTTGTTATTATGTGATTTTTATTTCTTTTATCGAATATTGTGCAGGAGTCTCCAGAGAAGTGCAGAGAGTATCCATTTTCAATCATTTGTCCAACACTTAATAGATTATGCTCCAGGCTAGGTACTAGTAGAACATCTTTTATATATTTAGTTCCTTTATTAGTTTGGATAGAGATTGTACCTTTTCCTTTTGTCTCCACCAGT